ACAAACAATTTGTGTGAAATACTCACTCTTCTAAGATTCAGAAACCGATTCTCCATGCAAGCAGAGCAACCTAGTAATGTTCCTAGCAGAGATCCAGAATCCACTGCACTGCTCCATTCCCTTCCATCTTCCACTGTGCTTTTTGCATTATTTTGATTTTTCTGTATGCAACAATAAAGTGGAGAGATGGAAGAGCTCTGAATTCCCATTTTGAAGAACTCTTAGTACAAAGGCAGCAAACCAAAGCTATCTGAATTTTAAAAAACGTGTCCATCTCTCTCTAGCATATTGACTTTCCCTTTTCACAAGTGTTATAACAAAAGCTCTGATGCTTTATGGAATCAAACAAAATTAAACTTTATTACAAAAAAAAATCTCAGAAGCCCAGTTCCTCCCTTCATATATAGGTAAGAACCTAACTCAGGGTCAGGTCATTCTAAAGTTTTCTCCCATCACCAAATTTGGGGCCACGCAGCCATATTACATACCTATTGGGGTGAAGTTTTCAATATACTATGTTGGTTTTGGGTGGTTTTTTTTTTTTGTTTTACTCCTGTTCTGCCTGCCTTGTTCATGCATGCATCCAGTTCATAATATTCCTGATAATACCCATCACTATGGCAAGATTACTTCTCAAGCAACATCTTGAATTATTTTATCATCACACATTAAAGTTCTGCAATAAATAAACGCCTGCTTGCTTTCCTCTTTCAGGATCTACAAGAATCTACATAAGAGTCAAGCAGAAATGTAATACCCTCTTTATATTCTCAGAAAACAAAACCCAACAGCTGTAAACTTATTTCCATTCTGGCACAAACTTAAGAGTATGTCCAGCATTTTAACAAATCCTATCACGAGAAAGAATTGACAATGAAGTTGCAATCAAAGAATTTTGGGAAAAAAAAAAGCAAAACTTCTCCATTAACAGTAAGCACCTTTATTGACCATCTTACCATTCAACACTCATTTCATTCAGTCTCCTAAATGGCTGAACTACAGTTTAGCAATTTAAATAAAAAGATATTTCAGTTTGACTTGTATAAAAAGTGTTATACCTGGGTGGCACAGAATTAAAGTAATTTTAAAAAGTCACAGACACAAATAATCACTACCTGTGATTTTTAAAATTAAGCCCCATATATTTCAAAATAAAGTTAACACATATCCTCCATATGATGTTATACTTGTAAAAATGCCTACAAAAATCTGTTTGTTCAGAAGGCAAAGCAGTTGGAAATTATTTTCTATTTCACCATTTAACAAATGACATCACAGTAGTTTACAAGGCATGAAAATATTTCAGATAAATTTCACACATTAAAAAAACCCCAATACCATATAGTGTCCTGATGATTTCAGTGTGCCAACAGATTTCAGCACAGCAACAAATCTTTGTAGTACAGACTAAAATTCAGCTATGCATCATTTATCACAATATTTAGCTCAATGCTCAGGAAATTTAAAAATCACATACACCTAGGAATCTAGTAGTCAGATACTGGTTACTCCCACTTTTTTTTTCTTTTGCTGTTCTTAGAGTATGTCTTCTTATCTCTGTGTTACAAAGGGTATGCTACTTCCCAGTGTTTAAAACGTGTGAAAAATTTATTAGCAAACTTTTAAAGAAAGTAAATTGCCTTTTATGATGAAAACTTTTTTTTTTGATATCTTCTTCTGACCTTAATATTAAACTTCTACTCAAGCCAATAAGAATAAAGTTCACTGGAACTATTTTGCTGCAAGGATACCAATTTCTATGCCAACATGAGTGTTTAAGCAAAATTATTTAACTTATAAAATTAGTGCTTGAGTGTAAATTAAATTTCTTCTGAAAGTCCTGTACCCTGAAGAAGGTAAGTTTTCAACCGTATCCAAGAAATAAATCTCAGGCAATAGTAAGAAAAGCTACTGAAATGAGTCCTTCACAACACATGCTAAATGGCATTTCCTGGAAAGGCAAAAATCATGTAGGTTTTTTGTTTTCTCCTTTAAATTTCCCCTTTCTGAAGGATGGAAAGTTATCCTAACAAGCAGAAAAAAATTTCACCACCATTACAAAATAGTTTTGTCTCCTCTTGTCAGTTAGACTTAAGTTCTTTACCAGCATAAAGCACCTGTATGAAAGCCAAGAAAGGGAATTCAGTGTGTAGCAGAAATTTGTTTATACCTATGCACAATCTTTTTTTTCCCCCCCACAAGAAATCCAGTGTGGGAAATAATCCTTTAAAACAAGGCTATTTAAAAAAAACAAAACAGAAATAATAAACAGAGCAGGAAAGCCTAAACAAAGAAAGACATATGTTACTGACAGTGAATGGGATTGTTAGAAGAGATGAGAAGTTAGACCTCTGTATAACTTCCACATGGCTGAGATCCTGGGTTTTTGTCTGCTTGGATCACGAGGTTCTAAAGCAGAAATAGGGATTTAATTTTTTTTTATTCTCCTTCCCTGTCTTTTTTTTTTTGTGGGGTTTTTTTTGTTTGTTTTTGTTTTTTCCAAAGGCACCAAAGATCAGTAAACACTTCAAAAGGCTAATACAACTAAACAGTTGACCAAAAATTCGAGTTTATGGAATAACTTAGACTAAAAAAAAAATGAATAGCTTACATGAGAAAGGCAACACACTTCTGTCTTAAATCAACACAAATTTTCACTCAGATTCAAGCTCTACATTTGGTACACATAAGACCACTAGATCCTCCAGACACATTTTTCCTCCATTAGCCTTAATTCAGTGGAGGAAGTCTCAGCATACATCCTAGTTACCAAAATCTTACTCTGGAAAAAATTTAGTTTTGAAATAGCTGCATACAGATGAAGGCAGATTTCCCACTAAAAGGAGTTCTATTAATTCCTATGCAGTTTTTTAATATTCTCTGTTCTGGACAGCATACATATGCCCTTTCTAAAGGTGCAAGTGTTTCTGTTAACCAGCACTGGGATAAGAAAAAAATACAACTCTTTTCACCCTTTTTATTAAAAAGAGAAAGTAAAATAAGAAACTAAAACAGGTATAATCAAAATTTCAATCTTCCTTCACTGAGGTACTTAACATTTTGAAAACTAACGATTGTATCATTTACTAAATAAATGTATCAACCATCTTGAGACATCAAATCATATAATTCATAAATATTCTAACAGAGTAAGAGAATTAATCATGGTATACAGCCAAAAAGTTAGAGGATACATTGACATTAATAAGGTTTTTTATGGTTCTGAATAAGCATAAATGACACAAAGTTAAAATTAAAAAGGAATTAAAAGTACTCAATAGCTCTTGAAGTTTTACGTCCCTACAAACCAATTTTTTTTTTTTTTGGACTGAAATCAATTACATCAGTAACATAAGGGGAAATAGAGGCTCACCTTAAATCTAATTCACAACTCTGCTTTGCTGGTAATGCCAGGAAAAGTATTTTTTTACATAATACTATGTCCAAGAAGTGTGGCTTTTTTAGTGATATATTTTTCTACAAGTGAACTTTCAGGAGATCCAGTAGGACAAGAACAGCTCAAGTTTTCTTTTATGTCTGTAACAACTGGGTACACTTTGTAGCAAGTGAGCTCAAGATAACAAATCCCTTTTTTTCAAAAAAGGAGAGGGGAGGGTATTAACATGATACAAGCTTGATAGCCTTAAACACCAAGGTCTTCCTTTAATTCATAAGAAAATGTGGCACTAGCTCAAAGTAGTAACTATATCTTCTTAGCTACTCAGCAAGTGTTGCAATAGTGAGGTGGGCCCCTTGGCCTCCAGACCGAAACAACTTACTTGTTTTCCAAGGCAGACAGCAAGTGCTCATTGTCATGTCTTCAGGCTGGAGCAGAACTGCAATTATTTTGTTCTACAGTGATACTTACAAAAGAATAAAACAAATTGGAAGGCCCAACTTGTATCTGGAAGACTAAAAAATGTTTTTGAGCTTTTCATTTGCAGGAACTTTTCATACCTGCTAAGCCAATGCAGAAGTATGAGAACCATAGCTGAATTTCTCAAAAACAGTCACATTACCCAGGAAAACACAACATCTGCTCAATCCCTAATCACATTTGAAATAAATGTTAAATCAAAGAATGATCTCCTGTGATCTGTTCCTGCAATATCAGAACAACTCTCCATTTCTAAAATGGAAGCTATTTTTCAAATAACCACCTAACTGAATAAGCTGAGAAAGAGCAGAAAAAAAAAATCAGACGGTGACAATTTCTACAAAGAAATCTTTAAGAGCACATACATTTAAGTTCTGATTTTGTTACCCAAACTTTTTGGGTCACTGTCAATCAACTTTCTTACAGACCATAAGATACCCTTAGAGGTCTTCACTGAAAACACTGTACAGGTGATAGCATTTAAGCCACCCAAACATAAAAACCAGTCTGTGGATCCACCATTTGGCAAAAGTAATCAGGAAAGGGAACACGCACAGGATATTATCATTAGTGCGTGACACCCTTGATATTTTACAATTTCCACAGAACACTTCGTTCCTTAAGCCCCAGAAATGCCAGAGTACGGTGACTTCGAATTATTTTTACAGCTGGAAATCAGCATTTTTTTCAGAATTTAAAATAGCTGTAGGTAAACAGAATTAGCAACATTTGTTCTGAACAAAGCAGCACATTCTGTTCCTCCTGCCCCCTCCCCAAAACAGAGGCAAAACGCAATTATGTTTCCCATCACAGCTCCCAGGCCAAGGACACTGAAGCTTTGTAGACTGCAAATTCCTCCATGCACATGACACACGGTTATACAATCGAGCAGGGTATCCAGCACAAAAGCATCTACCAAGTGCTGAGAGATTTTACTCAACATGCACTTTTCCCATGTACATTAAGAAAAAATGTAAGGTATTATGCTGCACTTAAGATTATGCAATTTTAATGATGACAGAAAAAAAAAGAAGCAGATACTCGTCAAGATTTTTTAAGAGAATGGTTGAGATAAGACATCCAAGAAAAACTGACACTGGGCAAAAAGATTTTTAAAAATCCTTTAAAGTTGCCGGACTTTTTTATCAGTGCTTTTAATATTGACATCCAGTGTCTCTACTTTTTTTGTTAGCCGATCCAGCATATCATCTTGCTCCTCTATTTCTGTCTGCAGACCAAGAGCTAGGTTTTTCAGACGACTCAACCCAGAAGACATCTCATCTGCCAACGAAGAGAGGGATCATAAGGATTGAAAGCAGTATAAAGCATGCTGTTTAAACAGACACAATCAGGATTCCCTCTTGTCTAAAGCCCTGGGTTAGAGAGCGATAGTTACAACTGCTCAAGTCTGAGTGTTCTTCTCCAGTAGTGGAAGCACCAATATTTTAACACTTCTACTGCATTACCACCAGAAATAACGTCCTTCTTTTTTCCATTACAAGTTAACTACAAATGCTTAAAACCAAATTGGATCTTTATAAAATGACATACCCTGTAATATAGTTTTTACTTTGTTAAAAAATGTACTTTATAGAAAATTTGGTACACCTTTTCTCAGCCCAGTATACACAATATGCTCACTACCTCAGTTGTTTTCCTTTAAACTTCATGCAGAGATGGTCGATACACTGAAAATTTAAGCAGTTAGTTATTTAACATAGATGGAAAAATCCCATTTCCAGATTTTCTAATTTGGCTATAAGGAAACGATTTTATTGCATGATTGATTGCTATAAATGCTTCTGAGGATAGAAATTTTTGCACAGCTTGGGAGTAGAACAAATGTGTTTCCACTAACTCTTATGCCTCACTATTTCTCTTTGATCTATTCCTTTCTGATTTCTTTCCAATCTCTTCTTTCTAGGCCAGATAAACAGTGACACATGTAAGCAAAGAGGCTCTTTGTATATATACTACAGAACAAAGGAAGAGAAAAATCAGCTGAATGGTTTTGGGAAGTAATAAAAGAAATGCAGCAAATTCACAAATTAAATATTTAGTGCATTTTGATTTTTCCATTTTCTGCAAAACATGTTTATTTCAAAAGCTGCACACAGCTGTAAATTCTTTGGGTCCAAACTGATGTACAGTTTAGTACCGCATTCAACTGTCAGTTGAGTTCAATGCATCTTTCCATGTAAGTGGAAAGCTTTAGAAAAAAAGGTGGTAAGTATCCATACTGGTATAATCTGGATGTCAATTTGAAGCAGGATTTCCTTATTAATATTAGTAGTACCTGCTTAATAAGATTTTTCAGAATGGATGGATAAACCTGCTTGTCCCAGTGATATTCCAGTCAGCTGACAGGATGATTCAAAGAAACATTTTCATATCCTGAATGCAAGTGTTATGGGATACTTCAGCACCATTTCCTCATTCACATGACAGATTCATAGCATATTCACATTCAGTAAGAGTGTTTTTGTTTTTCCTAATATATGATCTAAGAGGACTCATGCTTTTGGTGGGGGGTTTATCCCCCCGTCTCTCTGCTCAGGGTCAGTTCAGCCAGTTTGTTTCTAGGTGGTTTCATGTGAAATGCATTTCTAACTCAGATTTGTTACTAATATTTGCAAATAGTTGTCTCACAGACATCCCCCAGCATTCTACCATTCAAACAATGTATGTTTCAATCAAACTTTGGATTCTGCCATGTAGATAGTTTTGAAATGCGGAATACAAGCAAATTATTATTTTTAGTACAAAATTTCACATGTGAACTAAATGGAAAAGTGTTTGTTGCCAATGTATCACTTAGTCATTTTTTCTAGTTTAAGAACCAAAATTTGAAAGTTGTATTACATCAAACAGCTTTAATTTTCTCCTCACCTAAGTTGTTATCAATTTTCTGGTGGTAAGCTCGCAGGTGTTGGTTCTTCGGATAGGAATCCCTTTGCACTGAAAAAACTAAATCTGCTTTGCTGAAATCACTGTCTGTTAAAAGTATAAAATAGAGAATATTATTTAATAAATTACTAGCAAGAAGAGGCTTTAAAGTTTTAGAAGGGCTATTAAAAATTAGTCTGACCAGAGCTGCCATGTAATCCCATAACCTGGCAGCAGGAGTATCAAGACTAGTCCAACAGCACTATCTACAGGGCACCCCTCAAGATGAACAGTTAAGCTACCATGATTCTCTTTTGGGCTGCCTTTTGTAGTGCTACTAGGTAGTTGAGAGAAAAAATAAAAAAAACCAGCCACCCAGCCAACAAAGCAGGTGGGTTGGTAACTCCCACCAGTAGTTCGCATTCCCACAGGTCAGGCCACCAGAGAGTTATTTCTGCCCTCTATTGGAGAGACTGTTAAGGTAATGTGCAGTGGAATGGAGATTGTTACCAAAAAGCATTTACGTACAGAACTACACCTGTAAAGATACCCTGTTGCTTTCTCACTCTTACTAACTGAATCTCAGTTTAAGAAGGAAGAGTTCCTATGTACAGAAAAGTCATCACAGAACCTAACACATTGTGAGAACGGGGAACAAGACCAAACGCTGAATGCCTCCTTGCGTGAATCAAGTAATGACTTCAGTATGGAGGGTTACAGCCCAAGTTTTAAATAACAAGGAAAATATATCGGAAAACTATGATAAACGATGGTTTAGAAAGGAGAACCTCTGAACATACAAGTTAACATTTTAGCAGACACAGGACAGTGCTGCCTACGCATTGTGTGCATTCTTGGCTATAGTCTCCTCTGTGCAAATATAAGGACTGCATGCTTTTAAAGTATTTAGTGAATATAGCATAAATCCCTCGCAGAAAGGGCTAAATAAAATCTGTATTCAAGTAAAAAATTTCACATCTTTGGTATGGGTGTAAAGAGTTTAGGGGAAACAATCCCATGGAATTCAAAGCCATCAAGGCTGGGACACAAATCTCCAGATGTTAGGCAGCAATGTAAGTCAGCAGTTGGGGAGGCTGAAGGGTCTCTGCCTTCACCGCTGTGCAAGTTTGCCCCACATTGATGATAATCATTCTGCGTAAAATAAAGGTAACAAACCTGAATTATCTAGCTTCCTTAAATTTGGATGGCTTTCCTGGTATTTAGACTCTTGTTCTTTACTAGACATCATTGCTTCTTTTAATCTAGTAATAAAGAGAATAAAAAGAAAACATTCTGATGGAGCACAGGTCTCATTCTGAATCTGTTAAACAAGAAGAGTAAATTTGTTAGACCTGATCCAACATGTTCCCTTAAAATGAACTATTAGCATCTGTGTTCAGTGAAAGCAGAACTGATCGCTTTAGTGCTGAAAATAGCATATAGAAACTTTGATATAAAAACCAAAACTGTATCTTCTGTCTTGGAAGCAACCTATTCCTCCCCTCTAGTGCATGATGGAGGGGGAGGGAAGGAGGAAATCAATCCATGCAGCATTAGCAGGCTTTACAAACATTTCTCAGCTGAAGAGAGACAAGTACTAAAAGACACGGTAATTTCACAGCAATTTTGATTTACAGCTTTTAATAGAAGCTAGAGAAAGACACATAACATTTAACTGGAAGCATGTTAAGGCTACAAATCATGATTTCCTGATAAGACAGAAGTACACATGATAATTCAGAGGATTCTGAAGAATTACTTGTGTAACTTTGTGCAATTGTTTGAACTAACTTCCCACAAAGGTATTCTTACCACTACAAATATAAATAAAAATAACTCACCTACTGTTAGCATAATACTCAGGGGTTCCATTCTGCTCTGGCTTGCTCTCTGGAGGAGGTTTGGCTTTGAAGTAGTTTACCAAGCCCCCCCAAACACTCTTAATGCTATTTATGTGCCTTTGACTAGTCTTCAAGTCCTGGTCCATTTTATCTACCATCTGTTCCGTGCGCTTCAGTGCCTCCCCTTGACGGACAAGTTCCTAACAGATATTGACAGAAGAAGAGAAGCTAGTAAAGCCAAGATAAACTGAAACATCAAACATATTTAACAGACACTCCAAAGAAAAATAGCAGTTCCTTCATCTGTGCAGATTATTTCTAAAGGCATACGGCTTTTTCACTCACTCCTCTTCCTCCAGGGCATTTCAGTCAAGAGTTGTGAGTCTGCCATGGCATTAACCAGCTGTAAAATCCTCATCACTGCGCAATGCCAGCTTCCCGACATCTACCGCAAGCAGCATCCAGGGATTTTCTGTATTGGCCTTTTGTCAGGTTGACATTTATACCTCATTCTCGAGGGAACAAGCAAGTCACCAGACGGGTGATACAGGGAAAATGCAAAGGTTTCGCAGGGAAATGAGCAAGAAGAACTATTTCTAGTTGTGAACAACACCTTCACCAAGAAGGGATACTGTTTTCACATTACTGGGATGTTCCTGATAATTTAGAAACAGAATAACCAAAGGAAATAAACGCAAAGAGAACTTTTTCATATTGCAGGAATAAACTTTTAGCTAATACTAACAGTGCAGGATTTAGAAATTCTGACATATACAACTATCTTATTTTCTAATTCAGCAGCACAAACACTATTGCAAAGGAATCCCAAGATTAATTCCAGCAGGAAAGTTGTCTGCATCTAACACTAGTGCAAAACAAAGAACTTGGGTTCCTATTCTCTCTAAACCTTGGGGAATTCTAGCTGAATATGCTTTTTTTTCCTCCACAATAAAGCAGCAAACACATACAATTCAAATTTTACCGTGAGCCCTGTGTTAAGCCTAAAATTCTTGATTCCTCATTTGTGCTTTTCTGGACAAACAAATCACGAGGCTGCAAGTTAGCAGAAGAGAACCCTCCTCAGCACCAGCACCTGCTCTAGCTGGCGGAGGCTCTTGGGCTAACTGAGGCAACACCTAACTAACAACCAAGGCAACATCCCATTAGCAGGTGACACAAGGGACAAGACCTTTATGAGTGATGTCTCCGAATATAAACTCAATTCCGAAGCAAGGCCAGAAGAATGAAGGAAATGATTAATCGGGATGAAGTGAGCACATCACAAACAACAGGGCAGGCTCTTCACTTCATCAGAACTGCTGAAAACTTTTTAGTCAGACAGAAATCGGTACAAATGCCATTAACAAGAGGCCAGTAAGAGCTGTTACAGCAGCGGAAAACTCAGCCTAGTCCTAGTCTCAGCGCCACACAGACAGAAGGGTCGAACTGGGGTTTTTCTTCACAAAACAAACGGCCTCCACCCATCAAATCTGTCCACAGTGACAGAGAGGGAAATATTGTCTCTGGAACACCTAATAACTTTAAAAAAAGAACTTCTGGGGGCAAAAAGGACAAGCTTTCCCCAGAGCTGTAACCGCAGGCTCCGGGCGGGAGGCTCCCGGCGCAGGGCGGCCCCTCGGCCTCGGCGGCCGGTACA